CAGACTGTATAAAGCACACGAAGTGAGTTACTTTTATCTGAAGATGATTTTATGAATCTGTGGTCGATCGAATCTGCTGCTGCTTTTTTTTGAGAGGCAAACAGTATACAGTATAAGGGATCCAGGAAGGATTAACAAAACTGTAATTATGTGATATTTTTTTCCTCTAAAACTCGTTTTGTTTTGCTTTCAAGCCTGGGTTTCCAAAGTAGAAAGAAAATGCAGGTCCCCTCCCCTGCCTTTCGGCGTCCCACTGCATGCCAGCCACAGAGTGGCATGTGGCACATAACATGCAGAGTCAACCTCCCACCAGCTTATTTGCAGAACCAACAGTACATATTGAACTAAACCACACCTCATGTCAAAGACTTTTAATCATCCTTTACTCTTTGGGCCGGGGAATGGTGGTAGTTGGGGGTGGAGGAGGGAGATCTGGTGGTTGGCAAGATCCCCGAAGGGACTGGAAATGTATCATTACCGCGGGGTGGCGGCCTTCTTAGTCACTGGCTCTAATTCCCTCGCCAGACGAATGAAATGGCAATGCTGCAGGGCTTAGAAAAATTGGGGCAACGCTGGGGCAGTGGGTGGCTGACAGCGTATTAATAATAGCCTGCCTGGGCCCTGAGTGGCAGATAAAACACACTCCTCCCATTTAACCAGCTCCAGTCCCAACAGCGACTTTCCCAGTCTTCTGTCCCAGCCACTCCTCTTTGTTAGCTGGACTCAGAAATATGCAACACACCACTGAAAACACTTCTGTTTTTGTAAGGAGGGTCTAACAGAAGCTCCAGGGGGGAGGGAATTGGCGTCCTTCCAGCACATTCGGGAATCCCGCCTGCACTCTGACCGTAATTAGCATGTGGACTTCAGAGCAGGACGAGGAGGAAGGAGGAAGAAGGTGGGTAGGCCAGGCCATCGGGCAGTCCGGCCTTAGGCAGCATGCACTGATCACCCCCGCAGGAGGCCAGTGAGATACTGCGCCCAGGGACCTTCAGTTTATGGCCTCTGGACTAGGAAAGGAACGACCCATTTTATTTTATGAGGTGGGTGAGAAATTAATTAGTGGGGGAAAGAACTAGACTGGTTGTCGGAGACCAGGGCTTACTTCCAGCTGGGACACTCCTTAGCCATATGACCTCCAGCAAGAAACTCAATCCCATCGGGCCTGCGTTTTCTCAGCTGAAGAAGAACGCTGGGCCAGGCGATCTGGGGCTCAGACTCACTTGATGGAACTCACCGAATCGATTTTGTGTATGTGGGTTGCAGTGCCCGGGTGGCTGTGTGTGTGCGCGCGCGTCTTTGCAGGGTGTGAAAAGATAAACCCAAAGGAAAACGGATTAAAGCAACCACGTGTGAACGCTCCCAAGTGGAAGTAGCAGCTGGAATGAGGTGGTGTGTTACGGACACGTGTCTCCCCATTGGCACGGTGGAGCAGGTGACACTTTAACTTAGCAGTGTGCATGAAACACTACTTTTTAAAATATATATTTAAAAATATATATGTTTTAAATATGTGCTACAGGCCCAGATTTTAAATATATATATTTTTTTACAGAGGAAGAGAGATAGAGAGTTAGAAACACTGATGAGAGAGAAACATCGATCAGCTGCCTCCTGCACAACTCCTACTGGGGATGTGCCCGCAACCAAGGCACATGCCCTTGACCAGAATCAAAACTGGGACCTTTCAGTCCGCAGACTAATGCTCTATCCACTGAGCCAAACTGGTTTTGGCTGAAACACTACTTTGTTAAAAAAACACAAACAAAAACAAAGCAACAACAACAAACTCTAATGGTTTTGTGGGGTGTGACCTCAGGAAGGCTTGGCAGTTTTCCTGGCACCTGGGGCTCTTCACGAGGCTGCAGTGGGCTGTTGGCGGGGACTGCAGCCACCTGGAGGCTCGGTGACGGCCCCTCTGCATGGCGGGCGGTGGTGCCACTGCTGCTGGGGGCTCTGCAGGGCTGGGACCAGGCCCTTCGGGCTGACTTTTTCCTTGGGTGGAGTGGCTTCTGCCAGAACAAGCACCCCCAGAGCAAGAGCACCAGCGGCCTGGCCCTTCCCCAGCTCGCGGCCTGGCTGCCGTGCTGCCTTGGTCAAGGCAGTCACCAACCAGCGGTCACCAACCAGCCGGGAGTTAGGAAAAGGGCGGGACCCCATTCTTGATGGCAGGATGTTCAAGAATGTTGGGGTGAAGCTTAAAAAGTGCTACAGGCCAGTAAGAACGCTCTTCTGTTTCGCAGGATCTTTGAAATAAATCTCTTGATAATTTACACAGGTTGAGCAGCTTTTCTGAGATAAGAGGCTTCCTGAATAATCTGCTGGATGCAGGTGACGGAATGTACTTACAGAATCTCCGGGTTTTTCAAGTAAAGGACTTGGACTCGGGTCACAGAGCTCACCTCGGGCCTGAGCCCAGTTCGCTGAGTGCGGGGAAAAGGCAGGAGCCCTGGGCACGCAGATGGCCAGGCTGCTGTTTCCAGGCGGACCGTGGCTTCAGACCCAGGCTCTGCTCCTGGGAACCTGGCAGTGCCCTGTGGCCCTAGGTCAGCAATGCCACACAGCGTGTAGGAGAGACACTGACCCACCTGGAGTGCCCAGGAGCGAGCTGACCAGGGGAAAGCCTCAGGAATTCATCTCGGTAAAAGGCAGAGCACCTGGACCTGAGCTGCTCTGACATCAGGCACTAGGAGTGAGCATGCTTCCTCGTCAGGTCTAATTTCAGCGATTATTCCTTCCAGCCCTGTGCAGCCGCCATCGACCCATTTTAGTTCCTGGGGATTAAACAGTTTCTGAAGGTTGTTATCAGTCCCCGTCAGTGGAACATATCTACACACACCTTCCTGGATCATCACCGTGGCCCAGTGATTGGGCAATCACCACAGAGTGATTTCAAACCACACACACACACACACACACACACACACACAATCATGCACACACACACACATGCACACACACGCACAAGCACACACACATGCCCCACCAGTGTGTTCCTCTGTGTTCCTGTTGTCTTTCCATTTTTCAAAGCCCAGTGGTTTGTGAGAGACAGTAGAAGGACAAAATAAGAAGACATATGGTAGCACTTAAATTATTCCCTGGAAGGGAAAGTGTCCAATATGAAATTATTCAGTCTTTCTACTATTCTGGGATGGGAAGGGAGGCATTTCAACCAAGAAAATCATAGTATACCCACAATGCCCAGAGGAGAGCTGAATTATATTATCAACTTCCAAATACAGTCAGCAATATTTCACCAGAAAAGCTGCTTTGCAAAAGTTAAACCTTTAATGTTTACACTGGGAAATACTTCTAAGTCCTTCTCTGCCATCTTCTCCAGCCCCCTGCATATATATGCATGCACACACTTGCACACACAATCTTTTTCTTCCCAGGATTCTCTTTGTTGTGTTTGCCTCTATTATCCTAACATGTACACAGGTCATTCTAGAGTGAGGTGCCCGAAATGTCTCCAAAAGGAAAAATTACACAAAGTCAAATTTTGTCTCTTGTTTTTCAAAATTTTCTAAGAACCCATAGACTCAATGGATGGAAGTCATGGAAAATGGCAGCCAGAGGAAATCATTGATACAATCCTTATGCCCTTTTTTCATCTCAATTGATAAGAAGAGGAGGGAGGTGGGGGTTGAGTTTCAGTTTCCTGTTATTTTTACTCAGTTTATGCAATTTTAACCCATTGGACCCAGTTTTAAGCATGTTATATAAAGCTTTTATTAAATGACTAGAGGCCCAATGCACGAAATTCGTGCAAGGGGGTTGGCCCTCGAATTCCAGGCTTTATCCAGAAGGTCATTTGGTTGTCTGGTCTAATTAGAATATTATGCTTTTATTATTAAACTTCAAGTAATATTCTTTAATTTTAAATTAAAAAATCAGTGATACATTCACATGGTCCAGTATGAAAACAATACAAAAATGTGAGATCTATCTATCTATCTATCCAGAGAGGTCTGTTCCAATCTACTCTGTCCCTCTCTCCTCTTTCCTTAGAGGTAAGTGTACTGTTAGTCCCTTGCATATGTTCTCAGTGTTTATGCCAATTCAAGCAAACACAAATATCCACATTCTACTACATTTTCCACGTTTTTGAGAAAGCATTTAAGAGAGAAGAAACTGGCCTTGCCAGTGGTGGCACCACATGAGTAGAGAAGGCATAGTGGAGTATGAGAAGCTTAGAAGAATTATAATTAGTTATTTAGACTGCCGGAATCACATTCTTTGACATTAGTTCTTTGGTTAAAGCTATTCTCTGGGCATCTTCATTAAATACCCAAAATTCTTATCCGCACAAGCAAAGTTTTAAATGATTCATACAGCTCATCTCTCTTGCTTAACAACAAAATGTGTATATGCCACATCCTTAAGAACAAAAAAGTACAGTACTGAGTATAATGCAGGATCCCCTTAAGAAGGGCTCACCCACCCAGAGGTCTGATCATGGACATCCAGGGGGATGGATGGTGGCCATTGCCTGAGGAAAGAGCTTTTATTCCGACCCAGAAGCTTTTCTTCCTTTTACCTGCACAGAGCAAACAAGGACCTTAGAAACATCTTACTCTTCTGACTTAGGCACCTACAAAAGAATAACTTTGTAGATTTTATAAACAACTATAGGAATTTGTATGTAACCATATAATTGATACTGGGCGTTGTCAGGGACGGTGCCAGACCCCCAAGGACAATTAACTAATTTCAAACTCATATTTTGGAAATGAATAGGCAACAATGACAACAACCTGTCTTTCAAACAAGTTGAAACACAATAATGATGCAGTCTGTTGTATTATATGCCAGGTGAGTAAAAGATAAACTAAATTTTGAATGGCACAGAATTATCGCATAGGCGCACGTTATAACCATCACTTGAGTGGTTAATGTTTGATGTTTTCTAAGATTATAGGTAGTGTGTAGAAATGCAATCGAATTTGATTAAATATTTTTAAAAATCTTTAAGAGAAAACATTTATCTTTAGTTTTTAATTTTTTAGCTAGCTTTTTTTATTTATTGAAAACAAACTACGCGACCGTTGTAAGGTATTTGAACAGTGCAAAAAGTGTCCAGTGAAACAAACCTCCTTTCCCGCTTGCCAGCCCAGTGCTGCAGACACAACCAGACACACCATTTCTCATGCTTCCTACAGGAAGAGCCTGCATGTTGTAGTGTGTAAATATCTCCATTTAAAAACACAAACCAGAGCACGCTGTAACCTGTTCTTGCCTCAGCCTCGCTCAGCCTGCAGCTGCTCAGGTATGCCCCTGCTGCCGATACCTCCTTCCCTCCCCCAGAAGGAAGGACCTTGGGCCACTCAGCGGCCCTCACTGTGGCAGACTCTCCTTGGCAGTGAGTGAGAGTCCTTTGTGTAATAAAACAAAATCACCGCCTGGTAACCCCCTTTTAGAAACATATTGGTCACATCCCAAGTGTTGCCCAACTCCCCCTTTCTGGCATCTAAAAACCCACTGGTCCCCTTCTCGCAGTCATACCCTGTGCTACCTGAAGTCCATTCCTGCATAAACCTGGCCCGTTTTCCAGGTGTTTCAGGCAGGAGGATACATCTGATCCCTGCTACTCCATCTGGGCCAGAGGCAGAAGCACCATATTTTTTAAACACAGAAGTGGTTCCTAGCGTTGGAGGTATACAATCGCTCGGGCCGCTCATTAAAATAAAGATGGTTTGGAGGGCCGCCTGGGGATCTGTATTTTAATCAGCACTTGGAGCCATGATGATGCAGCCTTGCCATGCCCTAGGCTGCTTGGGAGCCTCGGGCTTCAAGGATGGTATTTACTTGTCAGCTGTCCTCAAGTGATGCCACCATATGGATGTTTTGTTTTTCAGATGAACGAAATAAAATAAATGGTGAGATCGATTCCTTGCCAGACTTTGAATTACTGAGTTTGTGGAGACAGAGGGCCACCTCTGAAGAGCACCAGAAGAGGCCAGAGTTCTGTTCTAAAGAGTCAGCTCTGCCCAGCATGTGACATAGCAGACCGGGTGAGCTGAAGGCTGGTGGGGCATCGAGTTGGAAGGGGCACATCTACTTGTCTGCACAGAGAGGGCGCGAATCCCGGCAGCTTCAGCTTGGTTCAACTCATTTTGGAAAATACTTCTGGCTTCTGTGGTTTTATGCTTTTAGAGTTCCATTTTTAAGCACAAGGCTTGTCCAAACCCACTGACGCTGAGCTGAAGCATCCAAAGGAGATGCTGAGTTTCACACCCATCTCTGCTGAGTCTGCAAAAAAATTTCTCAGACTTGCCCAAACTGCTTTGTTGAGAAACAAAAACAAAAACCACCAATCCCAATGGGGTTTGCAGGGTCCTGTGGTTTTTGTCCAAAACTATGGCAAAGCAGGGGTCGGTCATGTGACTTACAAGCCTAAAGGTTTCATTATGAAACCTGAAAGAAACCCACAGGCTTCAGTCTTAAAATATACTCCCATGAGAAAAACAAAAAAAGAAAAAGAAAATCTCAGTTTTGGTCTGGAACCATAGTGGAAGAAAATACGTCCAAACCAAATGTTGTCAGGACTCACTGTGTTTTAAATCCAGAGCTGAACTTCATTCCGTTGAGGTTACATTGTTCATTAACACTGTCTGTGGCACTGGATCGTCTAGAAAAGTCCAGGAGAGCTGGAGGCCCCCTCTTGTTTGTGCCAGAAACAGAACTGGCCTATTGTCCAAAAACAAAATGAGTTCAACAATATAAGTGATGAGATTTTATTTTACCTTATCTTCCTTCTCTTAGGATATGCAGACAAGGTAGAAAATGAGTTTATATGTTCTACTCCTTAATAAAAAAACTACTCATGAAATGTCAGCTCCCTTTACATGACTCAAATTCTAGGACTCACAAGAATAACCTGGAGAATTTGTTACATCTGTATATCCTTGTTATCTGGATCACCAAACTTAGAGAGGCATAAGTAACATTATTTTATGATGCTGTGGATCAGGAATTCTGGCAGGGCTCAGCTGGGTGGTTCTTCTGCTCCATGTGACTGAGGACACCCTCATGTGCTTTTCAGCTGGTACCTGGTCTCATGTGGAGAGTCCAAGTCATGTCTGGAAAATTAGAGGGGATGACTATCAAGTTGGCTTGGCTGGGCTCTTCTCCCTCTCCATGTAGTTTTAGGGTTTCTCCATGAGGTACAAGGTTCTGAGCCAAGTATCACTTCAGGGATCTGACAAAGTATCACTTCAATCTTCAGAGTAGCCATGGGCCAATTTCAAGGGCAAAAGAAGCAGACCCCACCTCCTGGTGGGAGAAATGTCAGACAGTGTGGCCATCTTTCGTCCACTGCAATGGAAACGCCAGCTGCACTCCCAGAAACTCTGGCTGATCATGTTAGGTGCTGTGGAGAGTAGAAAAGGAGCATTAAGAAAAGTTCCCAGCTCAAAAGGAGCTCATACTTGACTGGAGATAGGCATGGAAGGGCTAGGTGTAGGGGTGGAGCCTGAAGGCTGGGATCCCCCCACAGGAGAGAGCAAGGTGGGGAGCAAGGTGCATTACAATGTGGGCTCGAGTACCCATGGTGACTGAGGAAAGCACCTGGAGCTGAGGTAAAGGAATTTATGAAAAGGTATGTTGGAATGAGTAGGTAACCAGAATGAATTATGAGGGAAAGGGAGTAGGACTCTGTAGTTTCCACCCTGAAATGGGGGAGGGGGAGAGCAAGGGAGCAGGAGGCATGGGGGCTCCCAAGCAGTTTTCATTATGATCTTTTCTCCCTGACTTTGACAGGATCATTTCCCCTCATCTTTTATTCCTCCCCAATCTTGCTTTCTTTCTGGCCCTATTTGCCTTGTTGCTCCTATTCCAGCAGGTCATGCAGCTCAGCTACAGAATGGGCCAGTTTTCCCAGTAACAACGTGCACTTTCAGTGCTGGTTTCTGACTCATCCTGCATATGGTTTCACAACCAAATCATCTCTGGGTCTCACTCCCAAGGCAGGCACACACGCTCTCTCTCTCTCTCTCTCTCTCTCTCTCTCTCTCTCTCTCTCTCTCTCTCTCTCTCTCTCTCTCGTAAGGGTTGACTCCGCAGGGAGACATAGGGTTGGGAGGATCTCAGAGTTGGGTCCAGCTGTGAAGGATGTTATTGAGTCTGAGCACATTGCTAAAATCGATACTGATAAAGAGCTTCTGTAATCTGGAGATGCACTGACGAGATAACAGTGGTCTGAACTCTGTGGTTGCAAACCAAAATAGGGTAGGAGGGAGGGGTGCTGGAACAAAAGGCTCAAGAGGCTCTCATAAAGAGAGGCATGTGTAGGACGTCCCAATGGTCAAATCTGGATGCTCCGAGATGTCTTATTGGTTTGGAATGACACATTCCACCCCCTGGGAAACAATCCCTCCTTGTCCCACCCAGGGGCTGCTTCAGGGCTAAGCCCTGACATTTTGAATCCCAGGGTCAGAAAGGAAAGCAGCATCCAGGGATGGCGTCACAACCGGGAGGTGCCTGGGCACACATGGAAACCCTGAGCCAAGCTGGGAGCCAGGCATCAGTCAGGCGAGGAGCCAGAGGGCGGGCAGAGGAGGCTGGGCAGCTGTGACCCTGCTGCAGGGCGCTTCTGGGTCTGGAGGATGCTCTGCAGACAAGCAGAGATCAGGGAGCCAGAGAGCTCACAGGAGCAGGGCTGGGAAGATAGGCCAGGGTCACCCTTGGTCTCATTCCCAGCAAGAGCTGGGACAGGAAGCAATTGCAAATCAGCCTAGGGCTTCTGGGTCTGACCTCATGACAGTATGGGAAGAGAATGCCAGGCCTCTGTGCCAGTCAGACAAAGGTGCCCCTCAGGCATGCCGCGGGGGCCTATCTGAGGAGAAAGGACCCCATCCTCCAGGCAGACTCAGGATTCAACCCCACCCCAGGTTTAGGGAGCAGAGTGCAGCCTGGATTCAGCCTCTCGGGGCCCTCAGCAGAACCCTTTGTGCAAAGTTCAAAGTACATAACCACACAAGGTGACCGGTGTGGAGGCAGCAATGAGGGCTTTTTGGCTGAAATGTTTCAATACACTTGACTTTTTTTTTTTACTATAAGTCAGGACAATTAGGGGTCTCTCTGTACCTCCTGAGACACAGGGGTGGCACATTAGGCATCATCAGAAAGATAGGAAATCTTAACGCTGGGCTAATTGGAAAACCAGGGGCAAGTGGGTGGGCCCAGGGGCCCTGGTGCCTACCCATTGTGGTAAGTGGCTGGCTTGTGCAGGGGACGAGCTGAGAAAAGCTACTGAAAGGCACTGCTGCCAAGAATATTGTTCCAGTTGAATGGTAAGCCATGCTCCCCGCCCTGGCAACTGGAGGACAAAAGCTTCTGCTGTGCTCCTTCCACCATCAGAAAAACACCTCTCTGCAGAGCTACCTCTGGAGATTTCAGGACACTTGCACCAAAAAGCAACAGTGTTCTGCACGCCTCGCCAGGCCCCGGGAGGCCAGAGCCCCTGACCAGTAAGCTTTTGTTCTGCTAGTCAAAGAGAGCCCTTAAAACACCTCCACTTCCTAACTTGTCACCCACCATTTCCTTATCGGTAGATGCCAGCATTCCCAGTGAGTGTGTTGGTTATGGCAAGAGGCTCTTGACCTAATTTCTCTTTCAGTGTGTCTGACCAGTTAGGTCTTACTTAGGCTGATCTTTTGTTCAATATTTTTTGAATACTTGAGATGTGCTCAGGGAATGCAGAGATGATTATAACATAGTCCCTTCTCTCTAGGAGTTTGCAGCATGCAGGAGAGACAGAATAATGGGTAGCGGCTGCCCAGTCCCTTCCTCCTCCTCCTAGCAGAATCCCAAACCTGTTCCAAGACTGCCCTTCACCTCCCCTAAACACTACACACACACACACACACACACACACACACACACACACACACTACACACCATGAACACACACACACACACAGATAGAGAGGGGTGGGGGAGCGCTTTGAGGGTAGGGTGCAGGCTGATATTATGAGGATAGTATGAAAGCTGATATTATGAGGAAGGGAGAAGGGCCTGCACTCAAAGTCCATGATGTCACTGCAAGGACTGGCTTTCCCACCCTGGAGCTGGGCTGCATGGCCTGCTGGGACAGGAGCAACACAGGCCAAAGAGACCATAAGAAAGCCAGTGTGTAGTTGCAGTTCAGTCATTCTCGCTATTCTAAAATATTGCATTGTAGAAATATGCCACAATGTATTTATTCATACAGTAAATGGCCATTGGATGGTTTCTAGTCTCTTAATATTGTGTTCCTTTGAGGGAAGTTGTTTAATTTTTGTTATTATAAACAAGGCTGTTACAAATTTCTAAACAGATCTCCTGGTAATATAGGCAAACGTTCACTTTTAGAGGATAATACCCAATTGCTTTCCCCATTATGGCACCAACTGACATTCCCATGAGCAGTGCACAAATATTGGATGCACTCTGTATCATCATGCACATTTGGTTTTACACTGTTTAATTAAAAAAAAAAAAACTAGTAATTTCCTATGCAAATTTGATTTTGAATTTTTCTGATTACTGATAAGAAATATTATCATGAATATTGGTCATTTATGTTTTTGCTTCTGTGAAAGCTTGTTCAAGCCTTTTGCCCATTTTCATTTTGAGATATTTGTATTTTTCTAGCTTATTTTTTAGGAGTTATTTATATATCCTGAATAATAATCATTTGCCAGTTATATTTGTTCCAAATATCCTCTTCCATTTTCACTTATTTTATAGTGTGTCTTAATGAACATATTGTCCTCATTTTTATGTATGCAGATTTATCAACTTTTTTCATGGTTAGTACTTTTTTAGTAAGTCCTTCTCTGCTTCACAGTCATAAAGATATGACCTTCTACTTTCTGCTAAAAATGTTAAAGTTTTGCTGAAACCGGTTTGGCTCAGTGGATAGAGCGTCCGCCTTCAGATTGAAACGTCCCAGGTTCGATTCCGGTCAAGGGCATGTACCTTGGTTGCTGGCACATCCCCAGTGGGGGGTGCGCAGGAGGCAGCTGATCAATGTCTCTCTCTTACTGATGTTTCTAACTCTCTATCTCTCTACCTTCCTCTCTGTAAAAAATAAAATATATTAAAAATATATAAATAAAAAAATTAAAATGTTAAAGTTTTGCCATACTCCTTTAAGTTCAATTCACCTAGGATTAATTATGTGTATGGTATGAGATAGGAATTCCATTTTTTTTCCTGTATAGATCACTAGCTGACCCAGGACAATTTACTGAATTATCCTTCCTTTCTTCAATGATTATAATGCTAACTCTGTCATATATTAAGTTTCCATGTGCACAGGTCTGCTGCTGGGTTTTCTATTTTATTCTATTATCAATTTGTTTAGTCCTGAGCCAATACCACCTTGTATTAATTACCATCTTTATATATAAAAAACCAGCGACCATACGGTCATAACAATTGGTCGCTATGATGCCCAAAGAGGCCTACTAATTGGCCAGATCAGGGCATGGGGCCAATTGGCCAACTTCAAGGTCCCTCTCCCTTGCCAGCCTGCACCTGATCGGACTCTTCCAACCCAATCAAGAGCAGAGCAAGCTAGCCGAATGTCCCTTCTCTTCCCCTCTGTCCAGTTCCACCCCCGATCAGCCCACCCCACCACTATAGGCCTGCAGCCCTTCCCCTGGCCAGCCTCACCCCAGATGAGCCCCCACACCCCAATCAGGGGCAGGGCCATCCAGCAAACCACCCATGGCCCCTACCCCAGGCTGCTGGCCCCTGATTGGCACTCCCCATCCCATTCAGAGGTAGGGCTGATTGGTCCATTGCCCACAGTCCCAACCCCAATAAGTCCCCTAACAACCAATCGCCTGTAACCCTTTCCCCCAGCTGGCCTGGCCCTGATCAGCCCCAATAGGGGCAAGCTGGCCGGCCAACCTCCTGCCATCTCCTCCTCCCGAAAGGCCCAGCCCTGATCCGTCCCAATTGGGACCGGGCTGGCCAGACCCCATTGTGTATAAATTTGTGCACAGGGCCTCTAGTAACTTTATTAAAAAAAGTGTTGCTATATGGAAGAGCTAATTCTCCCACCTTCTTCCTCTTTAATAGTGCTATTCTTAGCCTGTGCTCATCAATATACATTTAGGATCGATTTGTCAAGGTCTTTAAAAACCTCTGTTGGGATTTTTATTGGAATTGCATTGAGTTTACAGATCAATTTGAGAAAAATTGATATCTTCATAATATTTTCTTATCCATAAAAATAGTGTGTCCTCATTTATTTAGGTATCTTTTAATGTTTTCATTCACTCAGAATTCAATTGTGCCAGACACTACTTCAAGGGGAAAAAAAACTCTTGTCCTAACAAAAAATACATTCTGGTATAAATAAATAAAATAAATAAAATA